CATACAGTTTTTCACGGAAATCGGACGATTATGAGTAGTGGCCGATCGATCGGCACACTTCTAGTCTGCAAGCAAATAACCAGTTAATGGTCAATTGACACAGCGCTATCACTATTTTTGACTGTGTATAATGCTCTTTTTCCTGAACTACTTTATTTATAGCATATACATTATACACAGTCAAAATAGTGATGGCGCTGTGTCAATTGACCATTAACTGGTTGTTCATACACAAGAATGTAAATAATTCCCCACAGAACATTGGGCCAAAATTCCTCCTTAGTAATGTAAAAAAATAAAAAATGAATAAAAACTAATTGCCAACAATCACAAACACTTGATAGCAGTTGGTTTATCAGTTTGAGGTGTGAATTTGTTTGATAAACTGAAACTGGAGAAATCTGGGGCAATAATTAGGGAAGTGTTTTTTTCATACCACTGTGGCCCACAGTACATGTAAAGTTTGTTAATGCTGCACTTTATTTCTTCCTCCAGCATGTTGCAAATCAATGTAGAAAGATGTACGGATGAGTTTTAATCGGGCTCCCTGCTGTCTGTGGGGTATTTTTCCAACTCTTTTCTCCAGTGTACACACAATAGTTACATCAGGACCGTGAATTTGCTGGCGCAGACTGAATTTGTCCACTAGGGATTCTGTTTTCATTATAAAGATGCACCTGCAGGGTTGATTGAAAGCTAGATTTTATAGTTAATTGTAACTCCACTAATATACACTTCTGAATGTAATTCCTGTGTGTAGCAACCATATTTTGCTACTCATTTAGATCATTTACTTTTTATAATTAATTATATTGACTTTTTTTTTTTTATTACTTTCAAACCCCCTGAGTTTTCTAGCATTCCTGGTACAGACGACTGGTACTACACGTTGAAAATCACTACGTTAGTCCACCATCATTGGTTTTAAGCTTATCCTCTTTAAATCCTCTTGCTGCTTCATAGTCATCCATCTTTTTGCTGCACCACTAGCACTCGAACTCCTTTCTTTATTAGAGCCCTCCTTCTTTACCTTCATTTACTTACCTTCCTTGAACTCTGCTGTTGTAAACTCCTCAGCTCCTCATGCCTCTCTTGTCCTTTTATCTCATGTCTCCTCTGTTCCAGCTTTTTATCCTTTGCTGCTTCCCTTGCTCTCTAAATTAGCATAGAGAGCCGGAGGTACATGGTTTCTTACGTATTGATCTATCCATTTTTAATGGCCCTATGCTTCCCAGAGCAGGAACCATCTTATGCAGGTTCCGTTGGACCAGTGACGCTGTCAGGGCTTGTTGGCACTCCATGCTTCTTAGAACAAGAGCAGACGACCTTGGAGGTCCATTAAATATGCTCCCAGGGGAAACAGACTGGTCCATCAGCCATGGTCCCACATGACAATGAGAGACAGTTTTTTTTTTTTTTTGTACTGAATGTAGATAAATAAAAGAGCAGGGGGGGGAGGAGGAACGGACTGCATAGCCTATGCAGATAAAGTTTTTAATATTGTAATGAAAAATTCTCTATGATATAAGTTTTAATATCTGCTGTGTAAATGAGCGAAATTCACACAACCTCCCTTTTTATACATGTGGATTTTTCTCAGTCATACAGCCTGTCAAATCAGACGCCAGCAATTTTGACTAATCAGAATTTCACAGCATGCTTATCCTAACTGAGCATTACTAATAAGAAGAGAAACTCAATATCCACTTAGGACCATGAGATCACTGGAGGTCATTGGAACATAAGTAATGAACATTCAGCGGTCACTTGAAATTTTGGACCAAATTAATTCTTATCTATATCTATGTTTGCTTAAAAAAATATTTTTTTGTTTCTTTTGTTCTTTCAATTCATATTCTAATACCTGCAGTGTTATAAAGATGTAAATAATGAGGACTTTTAGTAAATCAACATGTGGCAATGTCGGTTAGATAAACATTTAAACATTTGAATGCAGGTGAACGTCTTGTCACAAATGATAAATGTGTAGCTTTGGGAAAATTTTATGTTTCTAGTCTTTCAAAGTAATTTTCTTAGGAGATTATTTTATCTTTTGGCAAAATATGTTTTATCATTTTACAATTCCTACTATTCTATTTGTTTCATAAAATTTTTTTGTAAGCATAAAAATACATAAACTTTCAAATACTTGGTAACAGAATGTAGAATATAAAGCTAATGTTACTAAATAAAATATTATGATGGAGTAGAGACATGAACTTCACATGTTTTGTGGTAGTATTGTGATAATGATAACAGTGACAATAAGAACTATTTATTTTATTCTATTTTAGGGAACTGTATGGTTCCTTCTCCATGGCAAAACTGTTGGTTTACCAATCCATCTTTGTTCCAGTCCTCACCTATGGTTTTTCTTGGATTTGAATCACAAATCCAAGAAAAAGACCCTGGATACAAGGGGCCAAACTGAAGTTCCTCTGTGCAGTGGCTGGGATAGGTATTACATATCAAGTAAGGATACCTATCGTCTGGGACAGAGTTTCTCAATCTTGATCCTCAGGGACCAATGCCCTGCATATTTTAGATGTGTCTCTGCTCTAGCACATCTGTTTACAATGATAGCATCAGCTATTAGCTAGCTCCTGCATGCCATTAAGTGCTGCAGAAACTTGTTAATCACCCACTTATTCAGGCCAGGTGTGTGGCAGAAGGGGCAACGCCTGAAAAATGAAGAAAAGTGGTCCTTAAGGAGTAGGATTGAGAAACATTGATTTGGGAGGAGCTCAGAATGGAGCTACTGTTCCTTCGCAGTTAAAAGGTGTCAGTTCAGGTGGCTCAGCTTCTGATCAGGTTGCCTGCTGGGCATATCCTCCTGAAGTTTACCAAGCATGTGTCACTGGGAGGAGACGCGGGTCAGAACCAAAGTTGTCAGTTAGAGTGGATTTAAAAACTGGACCAAAGTGCATAGGGAAGTTTTGGTAGATTAAGGTCCAATTTTCTTGATGAAATAAGAAAACTCTTAAGAACAAGGAGGACAGGACATGACACACAGGTAAAGTAATAATGTTCAAGCTGAGGGGAGGCGAATAATAATCACAAAGGAACTTAATCAGATGGTACAAACAAAAAAATTGATAGATGGAAATGACACAACAAACCTAAAAATGATTTCTTCATTCATTCATTTTCCAAACATATTTGAATTTGAATTGCATGGTATTGTGTTATTGAAACTGTCATGACTTCATGACTGCAATTTCATAGAAAAGGGTTGTACAAACACACAAGCAACTAACTACATTCACAGATTTTCAATCAAATTGTACACCAATATACTTGCTGCACGAGGGACTGAAATATGAAACGGTGCACACGCAGCTACACACTTTCAGAAAAGGTTTATCTATGAATACAACTAAATGCAGCATAGAGACAACATTTCTAGCGCTGAGCTCAAAGCGGAGAGCAACCCCCAAGGTTTTTACCCTTTCTGACAGCGAGTCAGGTGGGTCTGTTCTCCAGCTGCTAGCTCACAGATAGCCAGAAACTCGCCTAATGAGATCACTGCCATCCAATTCGGTGAGGGTCAGCGCTCATTTCGAGCAATTCATTTTTAATTGGTCTCGAATCTAATCCATTTCATAACGCCTGCTCTGGAGCTCCTCTCGCTTGCTGAGTGACACTGAACAATTCCTTTGATGTTGGTTTCTATTAGATATTAGCCTAAAACGATGGTATTACTGTTACTGTTGTTTGGTTTGTAGCTGGTATTGATGCTGGAGATGAACTACAATGTTGTGAATAACACAGTGCTTTTGCCAAAGCTTTAGAGTAAATAATATTGTTTAAATTGAATGAATGAACTTGATAAAATATGAATATGCTTCTTTTGTGTAAGTTTTTTTTTTTTTTCTTTTTAAGACTTACAAACATAACCTGAAGTAGGACTAAAACTGATAAATGCTTGGGTTGTTTCCAACTAACTACACAAAACTGAGCACTTAACCCAAGGCTACTTAGGTAGAATTATTCAAAAGTGTGCAACTCTTTAGTGTTGATGTACAAGCGGGTATCGACCTTGGTCTCCCTCTCTTCACCAATAATACAAGACTGAATTACTTATTTTTCTGTATTTTAATAGCTAATTAAGTATTTTCACCCAACTCTCTTTTTTTCTGGATCTGTCCTTCTCCTCGCTGTATGGTGTGCTTGGAAGCTGTGCCTCCCTCTTTGCCTCCATCAAGATGTCACTTCTAATTTGCTGTTTGTGCTGACTCCATCCCTGCTAGCAATCAGCGAAGAAGACATCCATTACTCTTTGTCGTGACAGGTCCCCTCAGACTCCCGCTGGACCTTAATGACACCTGACAGAACACAGGTTTACTACTTAGCAAACTGGCCCCCTCAGGGACGGCCTATGGGGCCCATTTAACTAACACGTTCTTGCATAGATAACAAAGAACTGACATGGGGAAAGTAGCAGAAGATATGTGCTTTGGAAATGTTTCATATAGATTTCAGTATTTTGATCATTAATAAATCATTAATAGGATCATTAATAAATGACTAGTGTGAGCAAAAAACAAAAATAGCTCAGACTATATAGCTAGTCTGAGCAAAAACAGACTAACATCGGAAAAAGCTCAAGTTGTATTCTTTGGAGAAACCTTCTATATTTTTTCTCAAACTTTTAGAATCAATTTTAAAATAAATAACCGGAACGTTCTCACAGACTTTGCAGGAACAGGTTTTGGTTCGCTTGGAGTTTTCTTCGTGTGAACTCAGAAAGTTACAAATGTACAAATTCATCAGCTGATTCAGACCAATATTCCAACTAAACACATTCTGTCTGTATGTGCTCATCTAGTGTTGAGGTAAGGAAACCTCAAGACTTTTCATTCAGAGCAAAGTTAAATTGTAGGCGAACAAACGTCCTTAAGGTTATTACAATAGCAAAAGATCAATCGCAGGCCATGCTAAGCAATCTTAGTTGGCTCATACATGCAGGCCATAACTCATCATAAGGCCTCCTTGTAAAGCTGTGGTCTGGTGCCAGTACTGTGAGCTGGTTGTTCACAAAACTTATTTGAGCCCATCATATCACAATCATTACGAAGTCTTTGAGAGTCTCTTTCCATTAAGATGTTATATTGTTCATATCAATAAAGACTTTTTGTTAGTGTTGGCAACTTGATCTAGCCAAAAGCAGAGAAATGAGCCGTGAATATGCATTTTAGGACTGACTGCACCTGCAAGGCCTGCCAACACTGTAAATAATGCAGCCAATGGTTTTGTTTATGAGGTCTTGCTAGAATGATGTGGTTCATTTAAGGACATTAAAAGAGCAAATCTATCTCTCCTGTCTTGTGGTTTTCGTGCTGTTAAATGTCTTCAGCAAAATGCGAGACAAATATTTTGTTGGATTAACGTGAGTAATATCACTTATTTTGGTATTTGTCTTTTAAAAATTGGAATATTAACTCCTTCCAAAGCCAGGGGCCGTAATGGGTAAGAAATACTTTGCCTTGTTACAAGCTCTGCCTTGATATTACACTAATGGAAAAAATAAACAAGCATAGTGTAGTGCATTTTAAGAAATGCTGATTTTCAAAGAAGCTGAGTACATATTTGTCATGTAAATGGTAATCATGAACTCTGATGATTGATCTAAATCTTTACGCCCCAGGCAGCAGCAATAAAAGTCCTGACCTCATTAGTTTATTGCCTTTGGGTGATTTACTTATAAGCAATAGCTTTAGGTTTGGCATAGTCCCACTGTGTAAATATGTTGGTGTATTTTTTTCTTAAACAACAAAAAAGACAATGCCTGTTTTAGACACGTTCAAGGCACCTCATAAAAACACTAAATGCAAACAAGATTTATTCATATACAAAACTTTTACATTTTCTAAGTTGAGACAAAATATGAGGAGACAGAATATCATAAATTAAGAGCCGTTTGGGAGCTGAAAAAACCGGCTCTTCTTTAGGAGCCGTGGCAGAAGAGCCAGCTCTCTGAAAAGAACAAAACTTTCCTTCACTAGAACGAGTAGAGGAGTCTCTTCTCATGCAGGTTTGAGTTTGACAACACGCCCAGATGATTGGTTGCCTGGGGACACAGGCCTGCACTCCATGTAAAGGCCTTTTGGACCACCACTATCTTTGCTTTTTAAAGCATGCTAGGCTTTGCGCTGACTTTGAGAACATTAGTTTGCTAAAGCTTGAACGAGGCACTTTACAAAGACATCGATTAAGTTCAGTCACACACACATCCCAGTTGATTCTAGTAATGAAATGGTACAGTAAGCTTAGTTCATGATTCAAAATAGTTTACAAAATTTTTGTCTAAGGGTGAACTACATCAACTTATTGGACGTGGTTGCTTGAAAATTGTGTTTCACACATTGATGGTTCTTTCCAGAGTTGCTAAAATGAGGAACCGTGGTGGGCTAATTGGATGCTGCACATGCATGTTTACCACACTTTCATATGTGTGTAACATTTATCAAACTTATGTTAAAGATACATTTCATATTGTGCTGTGGTTTATTTATTTTTCTTTAGAAGAGTTTGATATGTTTTTCTTGTGTGTGTTTAGCTGAATGTGTCTTAATTTTTATGACCCTTTACAAGGATATCAACCTCTCCAAGAGTGATGAGAGTCTCTCATTTCCGATCAAAAAACCTATACTTCTTAATTGAAAGAAGCTCATTTTAAAACTAAACCTGCCAGATGTACCAATAGTTTTTGGCATAACGTGTGTCTTTGTAGTGCTTTTGATGAAATAATTTCAAGCAAGATCTGACCATATCTTCTATTACCCGCTGTTGATTTGCCATCGATTTTCCACTTCACACACTGAATTGCATTTGCATTAGCACATCATAGAGCCAATCTAGCACGTATGTTTGAAGCCGTAGGCGCCACTGTTGCCATTTAGCTTATTTGATGATGTTGTGTGTAAGCAAATATCTGTCTGAATAAACAAAGGGAAACAGCAGCAGATTAAAGAGGGTGTTTTTTCTGCTTATAAAGCACAACAGATGTGTCAAAAGGGCTAATGTATCTCTTACCAGTGTCCTTGATGAGGATAGTTCTTTCTCAATGATGGAGGAGTGAGGATGAGGAGATTAATGGCAGTAAAAACAAGGTTTAGCACCTTCATACAAAGGATGGTTGCCAGCTCATAAAGTGACTCTACACCTCGCTGCTGCCTCATAAATCCTTCTGTTATTGCCATAGATTGCTAGTGGCACATCTCCCAATCTAGAAGTATGCAGATAAAAAGTTTAACTCATGTTTTCAGAATGTATTCTCGTGTATTTGAAGACTGTGAAAGCCTGTGCTAAACCTTCCCCATGGAGGAGTTCTTAAATTGCATTCTCGTTATATAGCTAAGAGCACACTGAATTAAAAACTGAAGTGCTAAGAATCGTCAGATATATCATGAGTTGCACACAACTGGCCCATGCAACCTGGTCACCCAACCCAAGCGGTCCACTGGCATGTAAAATTTAAAAACTAAAGTGCCTTCAAATGGTTGTTGGCAATGAAAATTAATGGCAGCTCATGACAGTAAAGCCACATTGCACCATAAAAACTCCGCTACGGATCCACATTACCTTCAGGGCCCAGTTTTTTTTTCTGTAATTTTACGTTCAGGTCTGTGTTGCTAAATCCCAGTGGCTGTTATAATTCTGAACTGGTTGTCATAAAACGTGAAAACTGAACATTTTCACATTTTACACCCCTTTGTGGTCTGTATTAGGCCAAGCTGTTTGAAAGATCAATGGTACAAAAAAGACACGGTAAGCAAAAAAAAAAAAAAAAAAGCCTCATGTTTTTTATCCTCGCTAAAACACAGCATTGAGAACTGACATTTTACTAATAGAGTTTATTCATTCTCACCCTATATTATTTGGAAAAGGGCTCTTTGTATTTTCCATCTGTTATTGTGTGTTTGATGAATGAGGCAGTGTGAGAGTGGTTTAATTATACACAGACCGCATAACCTTAGACATTAGCACAAAATCACTTGAAAGTTTATTCTATCCTAATGTGTATCAGATATGACTTGCAGTAAAACAATAAAAGGACATTTTTTATTGGACTGTAAGTGAATTTTAGCATTAAAATGTAAGAAATGAATCTGTTTAAACTATCATCCATTTTGTTCATGACTCACTAATAGACTGAACAGTGTCAAGTTCAATGTGATGTCATTAAAAAATAATTGATGGATGCAATATTGAGGGTTGCTCCTTTAGTGGTCTGAAATCTAGGTAAAAATTGATGCAAACTGCAGGAGGACATTCTAATACAAATATAAATATAATAATCCACTCTGTTATCTTTGTATGTCAGATCAAGCATCAGCAGTGATGATGATGCATTAATCTCACCTATCGTAGATTATCACTGACTTTGGCATGATAAATGTACTTCTTTTATGGCTTACTGTAAAACCACTGTTTGCAGATTCTATGATCATCAGGTGGCACAGACAGCTGTGAGTGGATGAGTTGAATGGCAGCCAGGAAAATAACATTCACACTTTTATGAATCCTGTGGGTAAAGTGGCCTGTGGCAGCAGTGGTGGGGAAGAATACAAAATGAAGGACATCATAGCCCAAACCTGGGCTGATCTAATGAGTATTTAACATAGGAAAACAGCACAGATTGGGGGCCATCGTTGTGGGATACATATGAATTACATGAAGAAGTGGACAGAATATGCAGAGGGAAAATTAGTGTTAAATGTCTCAACAATTTCTAGACAAATTTATTTCTAGTATTTCTATTGATATTCAATTCTTCTACGATGCCCTTACTAACCAATTAGTCCACTCATACAAAGAAATTGAGTCAAATTAATCCACAAAGGAAGCTACAATGGAAAATTGGAATGACACGGTACCAATTGTTAAACACAATTACATGCATTTGATGAACACTTGTGTTGCTAAGGTGTAATTTTTGCCCATACAGCCACAAAAAACTGTCGAGACCTTGAAGGTTCTTGAGGTTCTTTTTGTACACTCTGATGTTCAATTCTTTCTATAGATTTATAACTTCAAACCTTCAGCATGGTGTTTTGGGGTGATGTGCAAAACATTTTTTCTCCTTACTTTGAATGACGTGTGCAATGGACAAAGATTTTTTTCAGCTACGGCCTCATCTGATGAGACTGTGCATAATCTTTCAGTATTTCACCCAATCGTCTTTGTTTTCTGCAGCAAACTTAATGAGCTTCAACATTAAGGTCTTCAGCAGTAAGATCTTAATCAATCAATCAAGTTTATTTGCATAGCACATTTCAACAAAAAGTCAGTTCAAAGTGCTTTACATCATAAAAACACAGATTCCTCAACTTAATTGGCACAAATATTTTCTTTTCCATATGTGTAGAGCACTTCATTTGTTACCAACATCTGTTGTGAATTTTATGACGGTAAAATTATTGGAAATATATTATGAAAAACACAAGACATTGTCAAATTCCCTTTTAAATCTACCTGACTACTTATTCATTTTTACACAGATATAATGTACATTTTATTAACCTTTTAAAAGCAGAGATGCATGGTATCAGGTAATAGCAAAAACACTAATTCCCACCTGCAGTCCCTGGACAGGTTGATGGTAATCAAATATAATTATCAGTTTATGAATAAGTGAAAAGCCAGTATAAGAATTAATTACACACATCCAATAAGTCATTACCCACATCTCACTAAAACCAAGCAATCCAATCAAACTACAATCCTACAGACCATTAATAAAGCCATTGCTTGTCCTAATTAGTAGAGTACAAATCTACTTATTTAATAGCCTTTTTTTGACAAATGTGAAAACATTTAGTATGTTATAATTTCATTTGGCAAAATATTCCAATGACTTGTTACAAAAAAGGCAGTTTATTTAAAGCAGCCCTACATTTTGGGATGCTGCACTCATCTCTGGAGGTTGCTCTTGTGACTCAAGTAATTTATCTAGAAGCCTTCTTAATTGTGCAGCTGCAATGTCATGGCAAATCTTGTAGACTACACAAATGCTTAAATACGTTATTACATTTACACAATATAAGAAACACAGGAAGTCATAGAGTTTAGAAAAATATCTGAAGCCTTAACCCTATGGAGTCGCTGCCCGCCGTGCGGCGTACAAGCATGTGACGCATTAATAAGGCTTCGTAATAACATGGACGCATACCGAGTTTTCATTTCGACTCTGTTGGACAGCACGGACTTCAAACTTTATAAAAGTGGTGTTTTTATATTGGTTTTGTGGTTATTTACTTCAAAATAAAGCCAGAAATAAGATCGATCATTTCCGCCTTATTTTGTGGGGTCTAAATGTACCACATTTCGAAACAACCAATAAAAATGTGTTGACGGTCTGTTGCTAGGTAGAATGGAGACACGCGGAAAGAGACGAGGGGGGGGATTTGGATACGGCAAGAGACTAGGGCACAGTGATGCTGTGGATTTTACTAAGAGTGTTTCGATGGGTTTTTTAGACTATAAGTGTGTTAGTTAGAGTTCGTGGTGTGTGCAGGGTTAGTAGTAGTTTTGCTAGCTATCGCTACATGGCTTCATACCGAGCGCTGACGCACAGAGAAGAAGAGAGACTCCACGCCGGGATGGCTTCAAAGGGTTAATGGTAAGAAGTCCACGTGTAAACCTAAAATTTGCTAAGCTAAATTTTAAAGACTTTCTTATATTTTTGACATGATTTTTAAATATTGAAGTTGCATCCAATGTCATGCCTAAGTAGGTATTCTCAACATTTTTAATTTTCTTCCCTTTTATGCGTATTTAGATAATTTTCTGCCTCTTTGAAAAGTACATTGCAATTGTCTGTCCTGCATTAATGTGAGCCTAATTATTTTTTTCAAAAATAAGTGCTGTTTTCTTCTTTTTAATATCAAGGTCACTTCTGCAGCATTTTTCCTATGAATTAACAAGATTGTGTCATCAGCTTGCATAATAACATTAGTGTCACACACCATTGGGAGCTCCTTGATATATAGACTAAAAAGAAGAGGTGCTAAAATCGAGCCCTGGGGCATTCCCATGACACTCTTTAAAGGGGACAGAGGTGTGATTTACTCTTGCACACAGTTTCCTGCTATTTAGATAAGATTGAAACCAATCTATCGTTTCCCAAGACAATTAGTTAATGGATTAAGCTGTAACTTTCTGTCTTTGCTGTTTTGTAGAGTCATTTTATGCACATCTCTGAATTCAAACCATGAATAGCTTTTTTAGGAGTTCAAATTTATTTAGAAATAAAGGCATCGTTTTTGACTCGTTTTGTCCTTTCAAAAGGAAAAACATTTTGTTTATAAAGCATGGGTTGTAGTACTCTAAAGTAGAATTATGGCCATTAAGACATTATGCAATTGTTTTTCTTGAATATTGTGATGGTATTTTATGTGTCTTTATAAGACCCCTATTAGCCATTGCCATGACAATGGATTATCCCCTTGTGGTCTGCATCATAAAAGCACATTTATTACAAAAACAGTTACACACACTATTGACACATTGGTAACATAATTAATAAAATAATTAAGAGATGTGTTGAATCTGACTTTTTCTTAGAAGAACTTTGTGTTTTCTGCAGCTAGAAATAATAATTTTCAAGCCTGTCCAAACATGACAATTTTGTTTTTGATTACAGTTTATCCAGTCAAAAGCACATAATTAAAAATGCATAATTTTCACTGTTACAGTGTTAGGCCTTTGACCACAAATATGTCTAACATTAAAAAGAAACATCAGGAAATAATGAACAATTAAGATGACATTAAATTCTTCGTAGCCTAAGATCCCTATTAAAACATATTAGTTTCCTCAGCAATTTTCTTTTGTTTAATTGGGTTGTCCTGTAATCAGAAAACCGAGAAAGCCAAGCTGAGTGGGAAAGTGACTTGCATTAAAATGTCACGAAGTCATGAAGTAAAACTTGTAGTGGGAGTCTGCCTTAGTTACACACAAAGAATGGAGAACAGGTAGAACAAAGATCATGCAAGTTACAGCGTGACCCCGAGGAGCCTCTTGTGTTGTTTAGGATGACCTTTCCTTCCTCTGATGAAACAGAGTTGAACCTTGTGTGATTAGAGGAGATGCCTGCTGTGGAATAGGGGATGACCCTTCGCACCTTTGGCCTCTGGGTTTCACTGGCTCTCCATCTCCAGAGTTGCAGCAGAGCTGTGAGGAAGTAGAAAACAGAGCCACAATTTATTAATGTTATATATTTATAGAGGTTTTATTAAAAACAAAGACACGTGTAAAAATCTAGGCGATAGATTTTGTCTTCTGTTATTTTATATAGAGTTTAAATTATTTGTGTTTTGTGAGGACATGATGGTGAAAAGATTCTCCTTTATGCCAGGTGATATAATATGCAGAATATGCATCTGCTTTTTCCTCAGATCTTTAACTGGAAAACTTGTCAATTTATCTGTTTCATTGGGTTTGCTTTTACAGTTGCATTCCAGCAGTTTGATATTATTTCTTCTCTCCCATTTATTTAATGTCCTGGTTCCCCAAAATCTATAGAATTCAGTGATTTAAAAACAAACTAATGACCAAAGGAATGAACTTGTATGGCAACGCCATTAGTACAAGAGAACTAAATAAAATCTTAATGAATACAAAGAGCTCTTGACAGACTTAAATTTGAGATTTGATTGAAAAACTTATAAAATTACAAAAAGTAATTTTTGCAATTTTTTTTTATTGATTGTTGTGTTACCATGGCTATAATCTCATGCTGTGAATATAATCAATTGTTTGGGCTCGACGTCTTCACAAATTTGTTCTGTCAATTAGTATAGTAGTTGTGTCAAGGAAGGTGACAGGTAAACTGCATCAAGAAGAGAAGCCATAAGTTCAAACACACACACACAAAAAAAACCCATTCCTCTCTAAAACAGACATATGAATGTCAAATGGGAAGCAAAATCGTGTGCAGTTAGTGGAGGAGGTCCTGATGAGAAAAATATAAAAGGTCAAACTTCCCTGAATCTACATGCTGCTGCTTTAGCAAGATGCCAGAGAGAACCCATATTAGGAAGTGAAGAGCTGAAAGTTGCACAACAGAGACCAAAAGGCAGAGTTGCTATAGTTACTTTGCCTTTGCTATGACATTTAAGCACTAGACACTAATTGGCTCACAGAAGATGGACAAAAATATTCCTCGGTGATCACAGTAATGTCGAAAAAGGAAATATTTGTTGGACAACAAGAGGAAGTGAAATGGATGGGGAAATAACCAATCAAGGTTAGCAATTGAAATATAAAATTTTCTTTCAAAACCTTTTGCTCAGATCTTACAACTTGAAAATAAACTAAAAAAATATCTAAAAATCTATAACACTTCAGCCCCTGAAACTTCTAAATAATAAAATGCAGCATTCTAATTCTATATATGCCCAGCCACAAAAGCCAAATACATGTCTCATGGTTTTATACTGTGATCCTGCCTGCTTTGGCCAGGGGCTTCTGAAGAGCATACATTTGAATATTAAACCACTTCTCCCTCTAATTAAACCAACTGTATGTTCATGCAATGCATCAAAAAGGATTCATATTTGCAGTGGAAAGAAAATAACCAAGAGCCATTTGGAAGAATATATCCTGACCCACAATTCTTACAATTTATTTTTAATAATGGAGTTATGCCTCCAAATTTTTTGTCCAGCTTTCTCAATGCTACTCACATAGTTTTACATATAAGTAAACTTACATCTGTATAGCAATCTTAGTTACCATTTTGCTCTTCTTGAATATGAGCTTGACTTCTGTAACATTCTTGAAACATCTGCACTGAACTCCATTCAACAGGTAATCTGATAACATTGCATAATTAATCTGTTTAGTACTGTTTTTTTCATCACCTGCTGTTTTCTAAGACTGTAGATAAGCTCTTAGTTTTTGAATAAAAAAGTTGTATGTTTTTTTGTTGTTTTTTTTATTCGCCAGCCCTAAAACCTTCATTCAGAAATTTGATGCCAGAGGAATCAGGTTTTCTCAGTTATATTTCTGAAAACTTAGGCCACTCTGAATATATTTAAAACTTTTTTTATTTCTCTTTCTTTCCTGCCATTTGATTAGCTGTGCGATGTCTGCTTTTTTCCATATCATTGATGAATTAAACATCTTTTTCTGAAATTCAAGCAGCACTGATGTGAATGTTAATCACCATGACAATGTCACATTTTCATGAACATTTCTGTACTATTTCAGAGCCTTGAGGAAGCTAATAATAATAATAATAAGCTGTCTGATGTCTATAGAGCAGAGAAAGTATGTTTTTTTCTAATTAAATATTTCTAATTAGGCTACTGCAATTAAATTCACCCATAAAATCCACACATACAAGAAATCAAGCAAGTTAGTCGTAGCCAAGTCAGGGTGGAATAACAAGAATTAAGCATTGAACAAGCTCTGAAATATATTCAATATTCTGTCAAAGACGCATCCAGAGAAGTTGTATACTTGATCACTTGAGTTCTTATCATATTATCTGAATTTTATTTCAATAACATGTTCAGAATTTATACATTAGAAAAAACAAATGTGTTTGGTATTATATGTTATGTTTTTTTGTGGTAAAATACTACAAAATATGAAATTATGTTAAAGTAAATTCAAATTAAAAAGCTTCAAAATAAAATTTTAAATGTTAAGTATATACATTATGCAATGGTTTATCTTCTTTCTCACTACAACAATTAACTATTTTCTTAAAGAAATGAATGACAAAACTTTCAAATCGGGCATGCTAGGATTCTAATGTAACTCGCTTCCATCCGCATGTCCATTCCCTGCTTTCCTTCCTTCCCATCTTCCTTTATCTTTCTGTTCCTCTCTCCCCAGTCGGGATTATTTACCACTACATCCTGCAATCTGAAGCGCCGCAGCTACTGTGCCCCAGGAACGCCTGCAGCCATGCAGCAATCAAAGTGAGACGTCATTTTCTACCACCTGCACCCATGGGAGCATTGGAATGGACAGCGAAGAATAGCAGAGGGGAAGAGAGAGGGAGATAGGACTCTTAGGGAAGGGGATGCAGACAGTTGGACACATAGGAAAAGGAGAAAAGAGAATTTGAAACTGTCGGGCTGGGAAATGACCAGAAAACACTGGAGGAATGAGTAAAAGAAGGACCAGCACCAAATGCTTTTTGTCCTCATGTACTGCTTTGAGACCCACAGAGATGGAAACAAGAATGAAAAAGCAACAGGAAGCAGATAGAAACATAGGGGAATAATGATTAGAGGACGGGAAACAACTAATAGTTAAACCCGAAGATGAGATATTGATGGTATCAACTGAGCTATTATCACAGATACAGTGGAAAAGAAAAATTCAATAAAAAGGAATATGAAAAAGAAAAGGGTTCAAACCAAAAAAAAAAAAAAGTGAATGAAAGAATGAGGGACAAAAAGGGCATTTAACTGCAAATGAAAACCTCCAGTTCAAGTGAGAGATGGAACAAAAGAGGATGAGGGGGGAAAAAAGAGAAGTAGAAAAGGATGAACATTAAAATTACAAAAGGTGCGGGCGGATATTTGACAGCTTAGAAGAAAGAGGATTAATGGAGGCACAATTGAAGTAAAAATGATTTCCAATAAAAAAGGGAATCTCGACGGATGAATTTGAGGACAGATATTAAAGAGCCAGTCAAAAAAAAATGAACCAGCAGACAAAAAAATGGAGATCATTCAGCAGTTATTTCCCATCACAAAAATGGAAGCATTATGCAGTAAATATAAGCAACATTTATATGTTGCCTTTTCTTGAATACGAACTTGTCTCTGTAACATTCTTGAAAAATTGCATCTGAGCTGAACTCCATTCAACAGGTAATCTGGTAACATTGCACTATTAATCTGTTTAGTATTTTTTATTTCATCACATGCTGTTTTCTAACTGCTACAATACAAACATGGAAAGACTGTAGATAGACTGTATTGGTTTAAAACGATATTTTACCTTCAGGTGAGAGATCTAAAACTCATCTGGTGACGGGGAGGATTTTTATGAAAATATCAGGCACGGCTTCTTTTTAAGAAATTGTATGCAATTTAATTAGACTTTTTTGGTTGATCTTATGTATATGGCAATTCCTTTCTGAAAGAAATTAGCACACATGTACTCTGCCTATTCTTTTAGATGTCAATTTGTGGTGTGCTTAAAAGAATTCCTTTTCTCTAGACACTTGTGATTTGAGGAAAAACAGCAGGAGGTTCTGAGATTGCTGCCAAGTTCTCTACAAAGTTCATGCACAAGATTTTACTGGTGCAAAGTTTCAGATACTCAGAAAAAAATCACATTGGTGGTCTTAGGTTTTTCCGTAGCTGACTTTTGTGTCTTTTCTGCCGGGTGTTTCTCTTTTTTAAGGGAAAAGTCATTTAGATTAGCTGATCATTGCTGAATAGCCTCTGTTTTTTAGTGCAATTCTTACTGATTCACATGCTTGTGTTTGAAGCTCAACAAGTTGTTTTGGTGTCTAGATGTCTAAAGGCATGAAGTTTCTGCCAAGTGATTGCTGATTAATTTTATTAGCTACTACAGTATACAGATGCAAGAATGAACGTGTTCAGGGAATGTAGAATTAGGTTTTACTTAGGTTAATTAGTTACTTTCATGTCTGATTTGTACATTTGAAGTATTTTCTCTATTTAAATTCTAACATGCTTGTCTGGATATATCAATATTTCAAAAAGATAATTTGAAATTGCATATCAAATCATGTAGTTGCTCTTAAGGTGCAACCCTTTCCCCTAATAGCTGTGTATGCAGAAAACTCAGTCAATCCCCAATTACACTATGGTAATGTAAGTCTCCCTTAATTGTCCATTAACATAATTATCGCAGGCAGTAATTACCTTTCAAAGTAATGGGCACCAAAATGGCCCAGTAGCTGAATTTTGATAAGCACTATGCCTAAATTAGACCCATGATGTTTTACCTGAGTTATAAAAATGCACTAGGGAGTGATTATGCCACAAAAACAGATAATTAACAGCTTAAGCAATACAATTTTGGCATTAAAACGTCAAGCTTGGAAAACAGATTGACATGTCAGCTAAAAATCTGATGAAACAATGGGAAAAGGAAAGGCCATTTTCTCTGAGTTGTTCTGAGTTTGAGAAACGTAAAAAAAATGGAGAACATAGTGGCATCAAACTTAGACAAAGATTGTTAAGATTGGAAAGAATATGAAAAGACAGGCGATTATAACAACACAAAGACACAAACTATAAAGGTCAACAGAGTCAGTGAGAGAAATGATGGGACCTTCTGGGCCTTCATAGTGACAACCTGATAAACACCTGAGACTCGGACAACTGCATCCTGGCTGCTGTTCGTTGTTCCTCATCCTGAAATAATCATTATGAACATCATCATATATTATCTTACCACGTGTGTGTATGAGCGCATGCGTTTTCAGCAAAAGTAACTGATTTGATAACGCTGTAAGAATTGTGTGTGGAATGGCAGGCTGAAAAGCAGAACAATTTGTTCCTTAAGTTACAAGAGTGAATGGCTGTTATTTCAACTATTATCATTCTTGCATTAACACAAACTCTCTCTTTTGACTTCCAGCACCTAACTTGATTTGCTTCCATGTGCTTCTTGAAAAAAAGTTTTTCTTCGTTTCTTTTCCTCTCCTATTTTGTCACCCCTGTGTGATGTCTATTATTGACTTTTCTTGCCAAATAAAGGTCTTTACGATCTCTGCCTCTATCAACATCCCAGAGGGGCTGTCCTAAAGACACTGAGCATAAGCACAAAATGTAACAATGATAAAACACTTTGGATATATTGTCACTCAGGAGCTTCCTAACAGCAGAAAGGAATTTAATCTAATCCTATATTCTTACAAAGACGGGGAGCAAAACAAGTAGATCTGTCTGGTTTTGATTACCTTATGTATGTGTGGAGCTACGGAAACAAGAAAGTTGGCTGTAGCAAGTCATTGGTATTGTTTTAAAGCTACTACTTGCATAGTCACATGTTGTGTAGCAGCTTCCCTGAGACTATTTGACACTTACATGAATTGTACTCAGACATACTGTCAAATAAGTTAGGGAGGCCTCAGCAAAGAGCTGCTCAATTATAGCTAAAGTATATGGGTTACCAAGTTTAAAGTTTGCTTGTTAAAACACAAAATTAGGCCTTGGAGTTTTAGCCCTTTGGGTCCAGTTGTGGGAATGGGTTGGGCCTGTAATTGGACAGCTACCTACTGTAAATGAGCTTTACTGATAGTACAGTAGATCTGGGCTTGCATCAGCAAATTGTGGATAAGCCTGTAAGCCAAGAACTGGTTGACCTTAATTATTAATAATGGGCTGCATATTGCCCCCAAAATTCAGCATTTCCTTATAGGGTTGCTTACGGTAATCACTTTATTGAGTTAACTTTAGATGCATTCCTTTACTGCAGGTCACTTTAAGGGGAATGTATAGTGAAAATAAAAGTTTTATTAATGTATACGACTGTCGATGTAGTGTGCTTACAACAACCCTGCTTGTTTAAGTTATAAAAATGGTTGTCTTGGTTGAACCGGTGAAATCATCTTCTCACCCTCTACCACTTATCACTCTCATTATCACTAAATGTGGAAATCTATCACATGGAAAGAAAATGCATTTATTGTCTATTGCCTGTTCATATAGAAATACTGAATTCACATAAAGAAAATAAAGTAAATTACCTTTAAATTACTTTGAAACTCACTGAAGTATTGCACATGGTCAATTCTTTACTTTATTGAAGTCTGTTTCCACAGGCCTAGAAAATTACAGTTATCAAAGATCTTACAGAAGTTTTATGTAGAAAAATAAATAAAATAAGCAATTGCAGGGTCGTGTTTAACATAAATAAGCTAATTTGAAGTGCAAATGCATCTTCTCCTGGTAGATTACTATGACTGCATTTGTGAAAGTTTTCAATGATATGCATAACAGTAATGCTCCGAAAACCTCTTTGTGGCTATTACTGGAAGTCAGTGCTACACTCAACACACTTAAATCTTATAAATTCCCACAACTGCAAGACCATAGATCAGACTCATTAATAGTAAGGTACGCAAAGCATTGCAAAATTTAATTATTATGATTTTGACCCTAAATTTGGACTTCCACGTAGCGTCTTCTTAATCAGTCTACTGCCATTTTAAAAACAGATGGAGCAATGAAATCAAGAGACAAAAAAAGACATGCTTTTATTTTTAGTAGTAGACAAAAACTAAACAATAGAAGTCAGTCAAACTCTTCCCTAAAAACCCAAGATTTGGAAGAGCTATTGGTTCCATTAAGTTATGACACAGTAATTGACTGTGTTGTCCTATTAAAAGGTATATTAAATTGGTATCCATATTGTTTGATTTTATAAAAAAAAAAAAAAAGCCATTTGAGTCATCTTGTGTATGAATAGTGCAATGCAAATTAATTTGGCTGGCCTTGACTTGAATGTGTTTTGGAAAAATGATTTTTGAAGCAATTTTAAGGTTACGTTATTGTAATTAACGATCATAAAATTGTGAATGAAAGTTAATGAAAAAACAATGAAATGATAAAGAAAAAGAAACCAAAAGCAGAGAATAGCTGTTGATTAAGGCCCATGTGATTATCTAAGGAGGGCTGTACCTCACCAAGATTAATCATTGTCTAAATGAAATTGCTTATAATCTTAATAAAGAAAGATTAGCATTGGTGGTAAACAAAATACATCGAATACCGTAATAAAGAACACATGTTTTGGTCCCTGCAGGCTGGAGTTTGTCAGGGGAATAAAATGTGAAAAAAAAAGAAGAAAGAATGAAGGTGTTATACCATTTAACTGTACATATGTGTAAAATTCATTGGTTACCGTTACATGTCTTCACCAGAAAACAATTTTTCTAAAGCTGGAGAAACCATTACGGACTGAGCATTTGGCCTTACATTAGTTCAACATGGTAAATGAAATGACATTAACAGACTTTTTAGCGCTTACCCTGGAACAGACTGACAGAAGCAAGGCTGCCATTCAATCTGCACCCACTGAAACCTTTGGTCCTCACTAACAGCCAGGCAGATGAAGTTTCTTACCCAAGCACACAACAGCTTAGTGACTAATATAGAGCAGGGGAGCCATCTAGCAACCCACCGTTTACAGGACATTCACCTACCCCCTGAGCCATCATTTCCGGTAATCTAAACATAGTGAAAAGGATATTTAAAATCAAGAAACTGCAAAGTCATCAGACATGTGAAGTAGGAATTGCCTAAAGGGTTTTTTACTCTTTTGGATTGGAGAAAGATTGTTACTTCTGCAATCCTGGGCCGAAAGGCCCCAACTCCGGACATAGGTCGACCACTGGCATCTCTCTAATGGTCCTTGAAG